ACTTGCTCCACGGGTGTCTGGTTGGGGGGGGGGGGGAAGGAGACTGTAAGCTGCTCTGAGACTCCGAGTGAAGGGTGGGGTATAAATCCAATCTTCCTAGGCTTTTCTGGGTGGTGAAAGGGTCCTCCACTTTCCTTTTTGGCCATAGGAAAGCCGCTTGGTTCCAGCATACATGGCTGTAAAAGGGGATTCATGGAGGACAAGGTCTATCAGTGTCTACTAGCCATGAGGGACTAAAGGGAACCTTCAAGTTCAGAGGTGGAAAACCTCCAAATGTCAGTGCCAGGAGGCAACGTCAGGGAAAGCCTCGGCCTCTGTGCCCTGTTATTGGCCCTCCAGAGTAACTGGTTGGCTGCCGTGTGGAACAAGGTGTTGGACTAGTGAACCAGTGGTCTGATCCATCAGGAGTCTCCTTATGTTCTTATGACTGTGGCCTTCCAGAATGCTGAGTGTCTTTCATGGCTTCCAGAGAGTCTTTCATGGCCTTGAAAGGCAGGCAAAGTATAAATGAGCTGGAGTAAGTGACACTTGAAGATCCCTTGTTGATGCTGGGGCAGTCGGTCCTAGGAGGCACTTAACCATTGAAATGGAAACTGAAACTGTTTCCTGAACAGGAACCATTGAAGGACTTGGGTCCGTGGCTTCTTAGTAGAGCCCTGCGTATTTGTGGTTCTAGGACACCTTCAGGCTGGCGGCAGAAAATGCTTCTGAACTGTTCAAAGCTGTAACATCTTGTTCTGTTTTTTGCTCCAGTTTCATCGAAGAGCTGATTGGCAATCTGGTCGGCCACCTGTTCTTTTTCTTAATGTACAAATATCCATTAGACTTGGGAGGACGAAGTTTCCTGTCAACACCTCAGATTCTGTAAGTTGGTTGTCTTTTCTTCTTCCTAAAATGTTGCATCCTTGAAATATCTGTAGAGTATCCCAGTTAATGAGTTGCAAATGTTTGACAGTAGCGAGAGGGTTTAAGGGGACCCACGTGAATTTTCCAGATGAGTGGATCCATCACAGCTGCATCACAGCTCTGACTCCCGAGACAGTAAAGAAAAGTGAAACTTTAATTGGAAAAGGGGAGAGAGAGAAAAAAAAAGAAACTGAAATACAGGAGACATTTTCTAACTCTAGTCAAATTGTCCCGGTAGCAATTTTGGTAGAAGAATTACTACCAGAAGCTTTTACCAGAAGAATTACTACTAGAGCCAGTTTGGTGTAGTGGTGCTGAGTGTCTTTCATGGCTTCCAGAGAGCCTTTCATGGCCTTGAAAGGCAAAGTATAAATGAGCTGGAGTAAGTGACACTTGAAGATCCCTTGTTGATGCTGGGGCAGTCGGTCCTAGGAGGCACTTAACCATTGAAATGGAAACTGAAACTGTTTCCTGAACAGGAACCATTGAAGGACTTGGGTCCGTGGCTTCTTAGTAGAGCCCTGCGTATTTGTGGTTCTAGGACACCTTCAGGCTGGCGGCAGAAAATGCTTCTGAACTGTTCAAAGCTGTAACATCTTGTTCTGTTTTTTGCTCCAGTTTCATCGAAGAGCTGATTGGCAATCTGGTCGGCCACCTGTTCTTTTTCTTAATGTACAAATATCCATTAGACTTGGGAGGACGAAGTTTCCTGTCAACACCTCAGATTCTGTAAGTTGGTTGTCTTTTCTTCTTCCTAAAATGTTGCATCCTTGAAATATCTGTAGAGTATCCCAGTTAATGAGTTGCAAATGTTTGACAGTAGCGAGAGGGTTTAGGGGACCCAGGTGAATTTTCCAGATGAGTGGATCCGTGACTGGGTCAGCGGCATCACAGCTCTGACTCCCGAGACAGTAAAGAAAAGTGAAACTTTAATTGGAAAAGGGGAGAGAGAGAAAAAAAAAGAAACTGAAATACAGGAGACATTTTCTAACTCTAGTCAAATTGTCCCGGTAGCAATTTTGGTAGAAGAATTACTACCAGAAGCTTTTACCAGAAGAATTACTACTAGAGCCAGTTTGGTGTAGTGGTTGAGTGCGCGGACTCTAATCTGGGAGAGCTGGGTTTGATTCCCCACTCCTCCACTTGCACCTGGCTGGATGACCTTGGGCAAGCTGTAGTTCTGATAAGGGCTGTTCTTGAAAAAGAGCAATTTCTGTCAAGAGCTCTCTCAGCCCTACCCACCTCACAGGGTGTCTGTTGTGGGGAAGGGAAGGGAGTTTGTAAGCCGCTCTGAGACTCCTTTGGGTAGTGAAGGGCGGGGTATAAATCCAATCTCTTCTTCTTCTTCTTTTACCTCACAGGGTGTCTGTTGTGGGGAGGGGGAGGGAAAGGAGTTTGTGAGCCGCTCTGAGACACCTTTGGGTAGTGAAGGGCGGGGTATAAATCCAATCTCTTCTTCTTCTTAATACCCTGTTTCCCCGAAAATAAGACCTACCCCAAAAATAAGCCCTAGCAGGATTTCTATGCATTTGTAGTATAAGCCCTAGTGTGTCTTCTTGAGAAAAAATAAATATAAGACAGTGTCTTATTTTCGGGGAAACACGGTAATGCCTTGTATATATTCGAGTGTTCAAGGCCCTCCTGTTTCAACAGTCCTTACAGCAGCTCCTAATGTAGGTTAGTGCCAGCATTTATAGTGCCGATTGGTGCTGGGGAAACATGTTTGAGGCTAAAGTAATGGCTGGCTTCCTATCTTTGGAGAGAAGTTTGAATGATGGACTTCTGGGTTCACAGCTGAGTCTTGTTCACTTGTATGCTAGTTCAGCTTCTGAAGGCATCTGAATAAGACTTATACAGTAGTTTCTCAGATTGATAAGTAATGATCTGGGAAGAAAGAATTGTCTGGTTTTGAGTCTATGCTGTAAACTACCCTAGTGTGTTTTAAGCTGTCTGTAAGTGGAGAATCAATCTATCTAATTTTCTTCATGGACCCATCTGTGGACACTTAAATCCAGAGACTGGAGACATGAACCAGTGAGATCTGACATGAGAGGCATGAACAGATGTAGATGCAGAAAAACCTAGAAAACAAAAACATTGTGGGGTTAGACCCTTCCCCACAAATAATAGAAACAGTACCTGTAGCTTTAAGAGAGGAGTGCTCAAAGGCCATGGTGGAGATTGCTAGGCAATTACAACAATACTGCCACCCTTCAAGCCTTGGATTAGGTCAGTACAAGGGAGGATTACCTGCTTGTAAAAGTAAATTGGCAAAGTTGTAAGACACGAAAGCTAGAGACAGTTGTGGTTAAAAGGTCTGGGTTTCTGGCACCCTCCCTGCCATCTTCATTTGGTAGTTTCAGGTAGGTGAAGCCTTTGTTCTCCACCTGCTGTTGAACACTATGTAGACCTATATTGTCCTTCTCCTAGTTTTGACTCTTAGCCAGCTTTCTAATATGGTTTAATGAAGGTTTTATTTATTTATTAATTAGATTTATAGCCCTCCCTCCCCTGTACAACAGGGCTTAGAGCAGGTAACAACGGTATTCATCAGTTAAAATAACTCTTACAGTAATAATACCAACAAGATGGCCTATAATAAGGGACGCAGAAGCACAACCTCCATCTCACTGGCACCACTGATAGAGGATGATCAGTTGCGTAAATTGCGATATTGATTTTAAATTGTATTATGCTTATGTTGTGCTCATGCTGTTGTAACCCACCCGGAGCCTGCTTGCAGGGGAAGGCGGGCTAAAAGCCTAAATAAATAGTGCCCCTTTTCTATGGGGAATAGATGTCGTACAGTTAGGTGAATGAAGGATAACAACAGAGGAAGAGGAGAAAGGGAATGGGAAACGGGGGAGGGGAAAGGAGGGAGGAAGTCAGCCCAGACAGAACCCATCGTTGTCCTCAACCGTAGGCCTGGTGGTACATCTCCCTCTTACAGGCCCTGCGAAAGAGAGTTCCACCAGGCCACGGCCAAAGCTGAGAATGCCCTGACTCTGGTTGAGGACAGCCGAATACTCCTCGGGCCAGGAGATCACCAGCAGTATTCCCTCTAAGCTGAGTTAGTGTGAGCTAGCTCACAGTTTTTTAGCCTCCGGCTCACACATTTTTTTCTTAGCACAGGAAGGATGGCTCCAGAGCCAACTAATTTATGAAGTAGCCAAATCACTCGCTCACAATTTTAATACCAGTCGCTCACAAGGTAGAATTCTTGCTCACAAGACTCCACAGCTTAGAGAGAACATTGATCACCAGTAAGTTGTTATTCATTGAGCATTAATGCTCTTTGGGTAGCGTACCAGGAGAGGCGGTCCCGCAGATAAGAACATAAGAACATAAGAGATGCCAATGTTGGATCAGGCCAAAGGCCCATCCAGTCCAACACTCTGTATCACACAGTGGCCAGAAATACCAGTGCCATCAGGAGGTCCACCAGTGGGGCCAGGACATTAGAAGCCCTCCCACTGTTGACCCCCCCAAGCACCAAGAAGACAGAGCATCACTTGCCCCAGAGTCCCTATCTATACCTTGTGGCTAATAGCCACTGATGGACCTCTGCTCCATATGCTTATCTAATTCCCTTTTGAAGCCGTCCTTTCTTGTAGCCGCCACCACTTCCTGTGGCAGTGAATTCCATGTGTTAATCACTCTTTGGGTGAAGAAGGACTTCCTTTTATCCGTTCTAACCCGACCGCTCAGCAATTTCATGGAGTGCCCACGAGTTCTTGTATTGTGGGAAAGGGAGAAAAGTACCTCTTTCTCTACCTGCTCTTTCCCATGCATAATCTTATAAACCTCAATCATGTCACCCCTCAGTCGTCGTTTCTTTTACATCATTACGTCATTTATAGTATTTTTATCATGCTTTTCTCCCGGAATGTGGGGCTCAGAGAGGTTTACAAAACAAGGTTTTTTTGGGGGGGGGGGGGTTGTATATATTTGAGTGTTCAAGGCACTCCTGTTTCAACAGTCCTTACAGCAGCTCCTAATGTAGGTTAGTGCCAGCATTTATAGTGTTAATCGGTTTTGATTGCGCACGGATCTGTGTTTGATGGGCGCTTCCCGTTGTCTCGCAGGTACCGCTGGCTGCCCAACCGGAGAGGAGGAGTGTCGGGATTTGGCGTCCCACCCGCCAGCTGGCGCAGACCGGCAGACGACCACCAGGGCGGCGGAAGGCACAACTGGGGCCGGGGTTTTCGACTGGGCGAGCAATGAAAGGAAGGAAGACCCTCTGCCGCTTTGGTTCCCCCTCCCCCCTTTGAGGAACACCTTCAGCTGCACGTGGGAAGGACTAGTACTGTGGAACACCCACAAGGGCCAGCTGGGCTCTAGTGCTGTCGAGTCTCTGAGCTATAAAGGGTTTTTAAAAAATGGTTCCTGGCGGGAGATGACGTAACCGAACACACGAGGTAGATTTGGTTCAGTGCTACTATTAAAAACGCCCCCCCCCCCAAAAAAAAAACACAACCCCACACCACATTTTAATATTTACTAGCACAGTGTCCTCACTCTTATCTGTTTTTTAGGCAGCAGTTTTTCTTTTGGCCGCTTTTCCACCCCTTGGCCAAAGACTGTTCTCTCGGTGTCACCGATCAAAGGTGTTCACTGGAATACTTAAAGATACCATTTTCGAGTGGCTGTTAGCCTGTATTTGCCAGGAATCGGTCAATGAAAACTTTTTCTATGGGCATCTGATGCTAATTCGACCAGTCTGAGCTTTGTTTTTGATGGGGAAGGGTGGCCAACTCGATCTGCTGCAGCGAAGGGGGAGGCTAACGGGGCGAGGCCCCCTTTCTTCCCGAGAGTGGCTGTCCGGGGGCACGTCCACCGCACCCACGGCACAGTGAAAGCCTTAATACACTTCAGTGCTGCGATCCTGTACGTGTTCGACTGGGAGTTGGTCCCACTGAACTCGGTGAGAGGCCTCTGAGGAAATACTGCGTGCAGGATTGGGCCGGCGATCCTAGTGACAGGGCGCCCATCGGTGTGTTTCTTGGCAGCTGCTGGCTTCTTGGGGATGAAATCTGAATAATTTGAGTGGAAAAGATGGGGATTTGGGGGTTGCCGTGTCCCAGCTTGAGTGACTAGCAGTGTGCTGAGCTCATTCCCCCACTGGGCGGGGTCACAGCCGCATGTCCTCGGCCTGGTCACAGGCACAGATTCTTTTTCCTTATGTGTCTAGGCTTGGACATCCCTCCCTGTGGCCATGCAAGGAGCAGGCTGCGCCCTTCACCTTGGAGACTGATCTCCTGTATCCTAGAGGAGTCCCTGGCTCTTCCTCCTACCTCTTCATTGCAGGAGGTGCTTCAGAAGAGTCCAGGAGGCGGCGCTTTTGTGTCTGTAGAGGGACGCCTGTTCGGACACTTGGCTTGGAATCTCCCCATTAGCGATTGGCCTTGTCGTCATTCCCCACCCGGCAGCCATTTTTGGGGTGCCCACAGCCCTAAGTGCTCGCACCCTCGTGGTGGTGGTGACCCCCTTGATTGGGCAAAACTGCTCTGAAACTGATACGGCAGTAGTTCCGGGTTTGTGTTTTGCCTGTAGAATCGAATAGGGGATAGAACAGCACATTGTTTTCAGGATCTACAAAAAGGTCAAACCTGATGAGACAGCAGGTAGCTAGTACAATCGCTCCTACTTAAAAATTAAGGAATCATGATTGAAAATCAGGCTATAGGCTTAAGACCGATGCGTCTGTGCCCCCCCCCCTCCCCGGGGTAACTGATATTCTGAAAAGAGACTTGGATACCTAAGAACATTGAACATATTGCAAGCTAAGGTCTTTAATTTCATTAAAAGTAATTGGTATTTTGTTGCTATCATGCGTGGAGCTTTTGACCATTTTCTGATATGAGGCAAAGGTCCCTCTGTCTTTGGTTAGTACAATCTGAGGATCCATTTCTCTTGCCATGGGTCTCCCGTCCTTTCTCCCTTTTAAAAAATATGTAGCTGATGTAGCCATTTGTCATTGTGGCCTACAGTGGAAACCCAAGAATTATAGCAGTCCTAGTCTCTCTCTCCGTCTCTCCCTCCCCCTCACCCCACGGAATCTCCGATCAGGACGTGTCTGTTTTCCTACCCGCAATATGGGTCTCTTTCCAGCACAGCAAATGGACGTTTCCCCCATAGCACTGAAAAAAACGAAAAATGCAATAGATATATATAAAAAAACCCATGTTTTCAGTTCCACTACTACTGAGATTTTCTGCAGGCTCTTCAAAACTTATGGGTTAAATCCAGCCAGTTTTTCAGCTGCCGAGGGATCCCCCTTGACCACGAGAAATGGTACGCTGGGGATCGTGGGACCCACATGAATGAGAGTCATGTGGTACAGGGGTTGTGGTAAGAAAGAGACGACCGGGCAGGACAGAGTTAAAAAAAAAAAGGCGGGCTGGATCCAACCCTGTATCGGTTGCTTGAACTGGGAAGCGGCAGCGATGCACTCGGCTGTATTTCCGTTCACCCGGTACTAGATCCAACAGGGTGTTTGTGTTCACTCTAACCCACAGTGATGGTTTCTGTTTATTGAGGGAATGTGGAAGTATTGTCATCATTTTGACTTTGGAGAAAGGCATGGATTAAGAAACCATTTTAGCACTTCACTGTTCTTAGCTCAGCATTTATTTTTAAGAAGATGGCAGAGTGCCCAAGGCCCAGGAGTTACTATACCTCTTGTTATCCTTTCTGGTTTGTAGAATATGGGAAGCTCCATCTCTACAATAGATGAGCGCTGAATAATAAGTGGTGACCTGGTATCCAAAGAAGGGGAGAGAGAACTGTGCGCATACCCAGAGATTGGCTTGCTTTTGTTTCTTCTTGGCGGCTCCCACTGCTGAAGAGACAAGCCGCTTCTAAAATCGAATTGCCACCTTGGCTCTTCTGCACCCAAAACAGAAAGCAAAGGTCGGGTTGTGTGCAAAATCCCTGTGGGTACATCTCCCCATTTCCGGAACCCCATTCAAGAAGTGTATACTGTGAATGTTTGATTGTCCAAAACTCAACGCTTGTAATGATTGAGTTCTGCTTATTGTGGGTTATAGAAGGATCTCATCTCTGCATTGGTACCGTCAGCTGTTCTGCACAAAGTAGAATTTCTCACCGGGGGCATGCCTTCAGAGCTCGAAACGATGGTTTACAGATTCACAAAAGGTGTCACCTTCCTCGCATTATACCGTTGCAGAATATAAGCACGGTACTGCAGGACTGAATACACTCCCATGTAGAAAGCCAGCAGCCTGGGAAGAACGCAAGTCTCTCTCTCTCTCTTGCTAACTCTTCACAGGTGGGATATTTTTTTTAATGGGGAAAGGGATGATTAACACTGCCCCCCCCCCATTCTGAAGACAATCTGTGCCTTTTTTTTGCAAATGTGTAGCTTGCCTCTAACTTAAGAGATCCGTTGTGTAGTGACAGCAAACCAGTCCCCTGCAGGATACGGGGGCAAGGGGTTTCAAGAGATGCGGTGCCCCCTGCTGGTCTTCATGACTGGCGAGGATCATTGGCTCAGATCCTCTACCATTTCTCTGTCTGTGCAGCAGCGTCCTCCGCGACGGTGTTCCTCTGGTGCTGGGTGCTTTCTGAATGATCCCAGACTTGTATGCACAGGAAGTATGAGGTGGGAAAGGGGGGGGAGATGACGCGTGCACAACGGAGGAAGTGCTGCACAAATGGGAAGATAGATATAGGATTGTGTGGCCATCCTGGCCCGCTGAATCTGCACAAGGAGCTTCTTGGTTGAAGGACTGAGGTGAGCAGAGGGAAAAGTGGCGTCTCCTTGTCCCACCCCTATTTGTGGTGCAGGAGTCTGCAGTGGCGGTGTGCTGGAATGCATCTGAAAGGAACATTAGATCCCAGCCCGACAAATATATAAGATGCTTGCAAGTAAGCGGAGTCCGAAAGATGAAGCTGGTTTGGTTTGCCCCGTCACGTTTGTAAAAACAATACTCAGAATAAAATCAGATGTATGGGAAAGGCTCATAGATAGACCTCGAGACTGTACTCGTTTTCCTCCAAGACTGCTGAGCTGGTGTAGTGTTCATGACAGTTCCTCGGGCCTTTCTCGAAGCAGGATGGGGCCCTTCAGATGGTCTCTGCCTCCCCCCCCCCGCATCCAAAACCCCCATTGCTTGTGGGAAGCACAGGTACCGACGAATGAGCGTCAAGCCGATTCTTCTCGCCAACGGGGGCGGCCTCTCAAAATTCACTTTATAATTGCTTGGCACTGCTTTTCGTTGGTTCGCCTTGAAGCACTTTGGGGCTCTCTTCAAGCTGACACGATAGCCAATCCTGGTGGAAGATCAGTACTTCTGTCCTTTTGTATAGAGATCTTCTCTTTATTTTTTTGGGTAACATTTTTTTTTGTTGGCAAAATTTTTTAAATTAAAAGTGGTAAAACTCTGTGTGCTCGTTTGGTATTGCTAAGTTGTGTCTCGTTCGCTCGCAAACCCTTGACATACGGTACGACCCTGGGGAAGCTTCCAGCTCTCCCTCTCTTACCAGGCTGCAATACAAATGCTTCTGTCTTAACAGCTGGTAACAGCTACTGTAATTTGCAAGGCAATAGATTATTAACAGTGAACATGTAAGACTCCATCCACGGTCCTGGTAAACCTCACAGCAGTACTGTAAGGAAGATGAATCATTACCTTATCATTTCCAATAAAGGGAAGAATCAAGATAACAACCAGAGAGGCCGTGGCTCAGCGGTAGAGCCTCTGCTTGGCATGCAGAAGGTCCCAGGTTCAATCTCTGGCACCTCCAGTTAAAAGGACCAGGCAGTAGGCGATGTGAAAGACCTTTCTCTGCCTGAGATCCTGGGGAGCCGCTGCCAGTCTGAGTAGACAATACTGACCTTGATGGACCAAGGGTCTGATTCAGGATAAGGCAACTTCATGTGACCACCAAAAGCCACCCACGAGCACTTTAGTGGTTAAGACGCTGAACTGCAGGCTGTGGAAGGTCAGTAGTTCAGCAGTTTGAGACCCGAGTGTGCCGTATGACGGAATGAGCTCCCGTCTCTAGTTCCAGCTCCTGCCAACCTAGCAGTTCGAAAGCAAGAAATTGCAAGTAGATAAATAGGTACCACTTCGGGGGGAAGGTAACAGCATTCTGTGCGCCTTGGTGTTTAGTCATGCCGGCCACATGACCACGGAAACGTCTTTGGACAGTGCTGGCTCTTCGGCTTTGAAACTGAGATGAGCACCGCAACCCTAGAGTCGGATTCGACTGGCTTTCGAGCAAGGGAACCTTTACCTTTTACCACAGGTAGGTGTGCCTTTGTTTACCTACCAGGAGAATGTGGAGACTTTTGCCTAAACCACTGTCAGGTTCATGTAGCATTGAAAGTATGAGGTAGGAAGTCTCTCTGAGCAATCATGTTGAGGGTTCTGTGTGGACAGGGGGAAGCATCATGTTTAGAAGCTCCTTACCACATATGGCGCTTTCCTGGGGTGTAGAATACTATTGAGAGCTGCATATGAGATCAGGAGCTGTTGTGGTGTCGTGGTTAAGAGTGGCAGACTCTTAAGCTGGAGAACCGGGTTTGATTCCCCACTCCACATGAAGCCTGCTGGGTGACCGTGGGCCAGTCAGTCGCGGTTATCTCAGAGCTCTCTCCAGCCCCACCTGCTTCACAAGGTCCCTGTTGTGGAGAGGGGAAGGGACAGTGATCGCAAGCCGCTTTGAGAATCTTAAGGTAGAGAAGAGTGGGATAGAAAACCCTCTTCTTAACTATTGTAGTTTCAGCAAAAGCGTTCCTAGGTATGCTGCATTGTCTTAAGCCACCCACCTCAAATCTCACAGCATATTCAGGCTTCCCGGTACCTGCTTCTAGCGCACCATTATGTTTGGATACAGCACAGCGCAGGACATCTCTTAAAACTCCAAATTATAGTGCTGAAAGAACAGCTTGTGTAGAAAATGCAGATCGGCTCGTGTGGCCGTGAAGTGAAAAGCTATACAGTTGCTATACAGCAACTGCTTGAGCCGAAAAGCTGGCGTTCTTTCAGTTGGCGCTTGCCTTATCTTCAAAATAAACATGTACTATAGATGTGCACGGCTAAGAAGAGAGAGAAGGTTGGATCCGGTGGTCCTAACTTTCTGAAGCAAGGTGCTTCTGCCAGTGGATGAGGGAGGCGTCTTTGTTGATTTCCCCTCCTCTTCTGCGCCCCCCTCCCCCAATTTGCCTCCTTGTGCTTTCCTGAGGAGTAAGATGAGCCCTTCTGGATCAGACCGTCTAGTCCAGCATCATGTCTTCTTACACAGCAGCCAACCAATTACCCTGGAGAGCCAGTAATGGCAGAGAGGCCATTCTTTCCTTGATGTTGTCTCCAACGTATTGCCTCTGAAAGTGGATGTTCCTTTTAGATACCATGGCTAGTATCTACTGATAGACCTCCTCCATCAATCTAGTTCCAGCTCCTGCCAACCTAGCAGTTCGAAAGCAAGAAATTGCAAGTAGATAAATAGGTACCACTTTGGTGGGAAGGTAACAGCGTTCTGTGTGCCTTGGTGTTTAGTCATGCCGGCCACATGACCACGAAAACGTCTTCGGACAGCGCTGGCTCTTCGGCTTTGAAACGGAGATGAGCACCGCAACCCTAGAGTCGAATTTGACTGCCTTTCGAGCAAGGGAACCTTTACCTATGCCTTTGGCCATCACTATATCCCCTGGCATCAAATTCCACTGTCCTGAATTTACTGCCCATCAACTTTGTAAGTTCTATTATTTTGGAAGAGAGAGAGAAAAACTTCTTTCCATTCTTTCTACCCCGTGCATAATTTTATAAATTTTTATTATGCCCCCTCAGTTGACTCTTTTCTAAACTGGAAAGTCCCAGACTCTTCAGCTTTTCCGCATAGGGAAGGTACTCCGACCCTCTAATCATCTTCTGCACTTTTTCCAGCTCTTCAACGTCCTTTTTGAGACAGGGTGACCAGACCTGCACGGATATTTCAAACGAGAGTGCACCATAGATCTATACAGATGCTTGGTAATATTGGCTGTTTTATCTTCAATCCCTTTTTAAAATAATCTCCAGCACAGAGTTTCCCCTTTTTACTGCTGTGGCACACTGGGTTGACATTTTTATTGAGCTATCCACTATGACCCCAAGATCTCTTATCCTCTTAGTGTCAGCAAGTTCAGACCCCATTATTGTATACTTAAAGTTGGGGTTCTTTTGTCCCACTGTGCATCATTTACCTTGTATTGAACTTCCATTTGTCACACTGTTGCCCATTTCCCCAATTTGTGCAGATTCTCCAGGAACTCTTCGAAGTCCATCTTGGGTTCCACCATTCTGAAAAAAATTGTGTCACCTGCAAACTAGGCCACTACACAGCCCACCCCCAGTTCCAGATCATTTTTGTACAAATTAAATAGCACTGGCCCCAATAATGATCTTTCCCTCCCCTGTGAGAACTGTCTATTTATTCCTACTCTCGCCTTCCTTTCATTTAGCCAATTTTTAATCCACTCTCTTATCCCGTGACTGCTAAACTTAGGAGTCTTCGTCAAAAGCCATTTGTCAAAAGCCTGTCTACTAGGTTCACTGCTATCTGCATGCTAGGTCACTTTCTCAAATAACACCAAAAGGTTGGTGAGGCAGGACTTCTCTTTGCAGAAGCCATGCTGATTCTCCCTCAGCAGGCTTTGTTCCTCAATGAGTCTAATAATTCTATCTTTGATTTCAGTTTCTACTAATTCTACTAATTACTAACTGGCCAGTAATTATTAGGCTAACTGGCCAGTGATTTCCTGGATACACTTCTTCTAATTCCCATGACTGAGGGGTGACATGATTTGAGGTTTATAAGATTATGCATGGGAAAGAGCAGGTAGAGAAAGAGGTACTTTTCCCCCTTTCTCACAATACAAGAACTCGTGGGCACTCCATTAAATTGCTGAGCGGTTGGGTTAGAACAGATAAAAGGAAGTACATCTTCACCCAAAGAGTGATTAAAACTTGGAATTCACTGCCACAGGAAGTGGTGGTAGCTACAAGCATGGACGGCTTCCAAAGGGAATTAGATAGGCATATGGAGCAGAGGGCCATCAGTGGCTATTAGCCACAAGGTATAGATAGGGACTCTGGGGCAAGTGATGCTCTGTCTTCTTGGTGTTTGGGGGGGTCAACAGTGGGAGGGCTTCTAGTGTCCTGACCCCACTGGTGGACCTCCTGATGGCACTGGTATTTCTGGCCACTGTGTGATACAGAGTGTTGGACTGGATGGGCCTTTGGCCTGATCCAACACTGGCATCTCTTATGTTCTTATTCCTGCTAACATTTGATGCTAATCGGCAGCAATTAATCACTAGATAAAATAAAACTGTCCTTATGCCCAAGACAAAGTATTAATATTTTTAAAAAATTGACAAGAGAAAAAGCTTACCGAAACCACCAAGTCTTTGTTTTATTGAATTACAACTAAGCAACGTTAGAAAAGTTTTTATTCAAATGCCCTAGCATTAGACTTGTGCAGCGTATTCCGGGAAACAACAGACCTGCCTCTTGAAACCACAGCAGGTCACCTGTTAACATTGTACACCACCGTTCTCTCTCCCTCTTGCCTTCCGACAGTTTTTTGAAGGAGGGATGGAAAGTGCAAGTGCACTTGGGGACCTAGAAACGGACTACAAAATTAGGGGGACAAGTCCAAGCAACTTTTTGTGTTGCACACTGCAACATCTAAGGCTAAGAGGCTGGCAAAAAGAAGACAGGTTTCCCCACCTTTGCCCCCGACTAAGAGTTATGAACAAGTTTCGTTATAAAGATGCTTGAGCCCTCTGATGTAAAATCCTTGTGTTCTGAGATTGTACTACGTTTAGTTAAAAAAAAAAAGGGAGGGGGAAGGTGCTTGTAACAAGTAAAGGCGTACTACCAACATTTCTGGAGTTCCACAGTCCAGAGGTTTTGGCAAAGGGTGAAATGCAGGATGTGACAGGAGAACTGTGTTTTGCATGCAGATGAACATAACTTAGCCAATTGCAAACAAGATGGCTCTTGAGAAAGTCAAACAGGGCCCCCAAGATCTCTGGGATGGATTGCTGAGATCCATCGAGAATGTTGAGATAGGACAAACTCTCAAGAATGTTGAGATAGGACAAGCTTCTTGGGGTTAGAAACCCATCCTCTGAAACTAATGCAGCAGGACGGAAGGGTTCCGTAACAGTCTCCAAAGCAGATAATAGCAGCTGCTCGTTCTTAAGACAACAGATGAGCCATACCAAGACTCTGAGACAGCAATGATCTGCAGCAATGTAGCTTATCACACACGAGCTTTCCAAGACTTTGAGACAGCAATCGGCAGCAATGTAGCTTATCACACACGAGCTGGGAAAGGCAGCAAAAACGTTCCCCAATTAATTAGGGCATTATAATTTCCCAGTGCATGTACAAACAGAAGGCAAGCAAGTAGGACGAGGGAGAAAACCTATATACAAGGGCTCTTTTCGAAAAAGCCCCTTACAGGACTTTGGCACCATTGAATCTGTTGCAACACCACAGAGCGTAGTCTCCTCTTCGCTGGGACCGCACCAAGACGTTTTGATTCCCAAGTCAAAACTCGCCAGATATCATTTTTCGGAAAACAAAAGGTTTAGCCCAGGCTCAGTAACGGTGGACTCCAGAGATCGTCACCAAGTTAGCAAGTAGGCCTAAAAAGCGGGACAACTGATAGGCCTAAGAAAAAGAAAAAGGTGTGGAATGCTATTATATACGTGAAAGATTCCTTATTCACACCCAACCAAAATCACTCAAAACACAACATTTCTTTATGGTTCTTCATGCACAAGTTGGTAAGTTTTCCTTTTAAAAAAAGCAATATTATCAATTTACACTCTGAATTTTTAAACGCGGGATTGCCCATCCAAATCTTAGAAGGGTTCCACGGCAGTGTTCTCCCTGCCTTGCTTATTTTTTACATGCCGAGTGTTTTCCTGTGTGGGCAAGCATCCGAATCATGATTCTCCAACTCTGATAATGGGAGTAAACCCCAGGAAGGACTCTGATAGAGGAGACCAGTCCACCAGCCTTGTAAAGATGCTCTGACAACCCAATTCTTAATGCTGATGTAAATGTATTTAAATTTATAAATATAGCCCTTAAAGCACAGTTAACACACACACACACACACTGAACAAGAAAATATACAAAAAATGCCAAGGAAAAGTCAAGGTTGCATTCCCAACCCAAAATAAATCCCGCTGAGCTTAAATCTATACCGGATTTTGGCCCAAATGCATGAGTAGAAAATATTAAGCATGCCAAGATGGTACATCTTCCCACTAGAGGGCGCAGATGTTAGGAATCTTAAACATATCAGGATTTTAGATTGGCCACGGACTCATGGAGCAAATTTGTTGGCTTTTGGCCTCAGTTTCCCCCGCGTAAAATGCAATCTACTTCACAGGGTGGTTGTGAGGACAAAAGATGGTAGAACGCTGACCTTAGTACAATTATTTTATAAAAGCGCTTATTATAAACCCTACAAACTTTGTCAACTATTTCTTTCTTAAAACAAAACCAGTCTAGCTAAATTTGTCTGAGGAGGAAAAATACACATGTGGCAAATCCTTTACTGAGCTAAAATGCCTGAATGAGAACATTCTGTTCAAAACACACCAGCGGGCAACAAGAACGGGAACTGTGAACAAGGCAAAGAGGCGGAAAGGGCAGGGTCAAAGCTGAAATCAGAATGACTGGCATCGTTACCTGTCTAGGTATGAGAGTTATCACCAGATATACTTTCAGGATCATATTCTACTTTGACTTCAGGCACTATTCGAGTTGAGCTGTCCATGCCGTCTGAAGTGGTATAGTCATCCTCTATGGTCACCTCCACCCAACTCACGTCCCCGCTCTCCTCGGTATCCTCGTGGCCCTGGCTGTCCTGGCTACTGCATTCCGATCTGTCCATTCCTTCCCTGTTGAGCTTCCCCATCTTCAGAAATTCCTTGTGGGCCTGTTGAGCCACATTGCTACCGAGCTTTGTACCAGCAACAGGGATGGCCCCTTTTGTGTCTTTGAAGCCATCGAGGCCATACTGCTGCTGGTATTGGTCCAGCCATTTTAACGTCCCGGATCTTAGCGAGCTCCTGTTCTCCTTGAACCAGCGAACTATTTCAGTCCTAGTGAGTCCCGTCTGAGCTGCCAACTCATCGTACTCTTGCGGTGATGGCCACTGAGTTCTCGCAAATGTACTTTTTAGTAAGTGGGCCTGCTCTTGGCTATTTGCGGCAAATGCTGGGGGGCACCTGGACAAAGATGGTGGTGCTTGGGAGATGTTCAACTGCTCCGTTTGACTCACGGCACCATTGGAAGTTCCTTCTTCTTGACTCTTCACGCTTGATCCCATTGAGTCCAAGACCGCTTGTTCCATGTTATCTCTGAGCTTCCTCCGCTCAGCAAACCAGTAATCCACCTCCTTTCTGTTCATCTTGGCTTCAGTCCTAAGCCTTTCCAGCTCGTTCTGGGTTGGGAAAGAGCTCTTCAGGAAGCTTTCTTCGAGGATTCCGAGCTGCTCTTGGCTTTTGTCTTTGAACGTCTGGGTCATTAAGTCTAAGGGGAGGTCATACGTATGTCCCTGCCGTGCAGCTGCCAGAGCGACCTGGTCCTTGGCTATGGATTCGCTCGTGATGGTGACAATTCCCCTTTGACTTCGGTATCGGTGGTCACTGAACCACTTCTTGATCTCACTTCTGGCGAGGCCCGTGATTTCGATAAGCCTGTATATTTCTGCGTTGTCGGGAAACTGGCTGACGAGAAAGCTCGCTTTCAGAGAGGCTATCTGTTCCTTGGTCTTCTTGCGGTCATTTGGTGAGACCAGTGGCATAGCGGGTGATGGCAGTGATGGCACTGTAGGTGTAACTGCAGGGGGAGCAGGAGGGTTTTGTTTTGCTGGGGTTTCCGTGGGGACAACATGGGGACGTTTCACTTCTGGGGTAGCAGGCTGGTTCTGAGCACACCGTTTCTGCCCTTGGCTGGCAGCGACAGCAAGCGTAATCGGCGTAATGTTTGATCCATTTGACACTTGCGTCAAAACCAGGCCGGTCTGACCGAGTATCTGACAAGGCACGGCTGTTTGGATAATTGGCTGCGGCATTTTTGCAGGGGTGACGTGAGCCGGCAGGACAGTGATGGTCTGGGGCACAGTTGGCTGGATGGTGCCATTGAACATCTTCTTCCTCGCCTCTTCCACCTCTTCTGGAGACCAGCTGATGCCATGCTTCAAGCGCTGAGTGGCGAACCAAATTCGGATCTGTTCCTCTGGGTGTTTGGACGCCGCTGTGAGCCACGACAACTCAGCCTGTGTAGGGTATGGAAATTTGTTGAAGGAACTGATCATGGTTGCATTAGTGTCCAGTGCAGAATTGTATTTGGTAGTATTCAGCGGTACGGGGACTTTGGGAACCAGGTTGATATTTGGTGGGAGCTGTACAGAGGGCATTACATGAGCAAGTACATCCTGAAGGAGCTCCGCTGCATTAATACACGCGATAGGCTCGCTGGTTTCCGTGAGAAGATGGCGGAACCCGTCCATGTGGTTGTCTAGGGAAGCCTTTTTAGCCTCCCCTTTGGACTTTCCAGTGTTCACATTTGGAGTCACTTTATTCGGAACGCTTGCCCCAAAGGGATCTACCTCGATCTCAGAGATTTCAGCAGCAACTGGGTTGTTCGATACCTCAATGGACTGCGCTAGGATAGTCTGATTATTGAGCTTCATTAACTTAAGCTTAAAGTTGCTCTCTCCAGGGTGGAGTTTTGCGTTGTGTTCGGATAAAGAATCATACTTTTTGGTTTTGTAGTTACATTCTGCACATACATAGAGAGGGTTGAGGATCACATTGGGGTGCTGGGTGTCTATGTGCTCCGTGAACTCATTCAAGTTCTGCGAGGAGTAGGGGCAGTACTTACATTCGTAACCACCCAAGAGTTTCTTTACGGGATTGGCCGGGGAAGATTTCCCCTCAATCACTTCGCAGTCGTTCTCGCAATTCTCTTTAATGGCGGACCAACCATCTCCCGAGTCCTGCTCTGGTAGGCCGGCTAATTTTCCCGCTATAGAGTCCTTGGAGCCCTCTTGCACCACAGCTTCAGTCGCCCGCACCATACAGGGAACGGTTGATTTCCTCCTGCTAGCCATGGTAGCCCTGTGATCGGCAGCAGCAATTCCTTCTTTCCTTCAGCCAGCTCTAAAGACGCTCTTGGACGGATTTCCGCTTTCACACTGCTGCCCCAGATAGATCCTAAAGAGTTCTAGCCCCAGTCATGGTCATCGAGTTCTGGTCACCTAACAACTCGGGCTGCGTCATGCCTGCAACACAAAACACAAGCCATTAAAATACATTCATGCTACTCTTTCCCAGCAGCGGCACTCTACCACCATGTTATCTTCCGCTGTAACCTAACTTTCATACTTCTTCCACACTACTGGGGCCTAAGCATGGGAAGGTGGGTGTGGAATGGGACATCAAATAACCAACGCATTTGGATTTTAGAAGTCTGGAACCACCAGAAAGAACTGAAGCATAGCTTATGTGCTAACATGACACATTAAGCAATACAGAGATTACATAACAGGACCCTACTACAATAAGCTATACACAGCAGTACAGTCGACAGTCCCAATAATTTATCCAGGTACGTTTGTGAACCTCTGTGCCCTGTTGTTGGCCCACTGGAGGAACTGGTTGGCTACTCTGTGACCACAACAATTGTAATATCGTCCCAAAATGATGCTGAATAATGAATATAATAAATGTTATAATAAAATTATTGTCTTTCTTTTAGGTAATCACAATGCACAATACTTATTTTCAATACACAATACTAGCAATGCTATTATCCAGTAAGAGAATCACTCTATAATACTCATATCACATCAAAGAATCTCTTTAAACATGTAACAGAGAACAACATATAAATCAAGGCATTACAACTCAATTGTGTAGCAATCAGTGTTCCCTCTAAGCTGAGTTGGTGTGAGCTAGCTCACGGTTTTTTAGCCTCCGGCTCACACATTTTTCTCTTGGCTCATGAAGGAGGGCTCCAGAACAAACAAATTTATGCAGCAGCCAAATCGCTCACTCACAACTTTAATGCCAGGAGCTCACAAAGTAGGATTTTTGCTCACAAGACTCCACTGCTTAGAGGGAGCAGTCCAAGAGATCCAAAAATCAGTCCAAGAGATCACGGTCTTTAATGTTGATGTGTGCAGACCAGTGAAGATGAGACAAAGACTCTGGATTATTCTATACTTCGTTTTGCGTAAACTTCTTCAAATCATGGACTGCTCCTGTAGCTAAGTGTAGTTACAATAGGCAGCCTCACTGCAAATAGTGTTATTCCTATGGTGCGCCCTTCTGCAGTTGTTACAATGACTTACAATGCTCCCAATCTCTCACTTCAAGGATTAGTTCCGCAGGAAGTGAGAGATTGGGAGCATTGTAACGAAGTATAGAATAATCCGGAGTCTTACTGAATAGTAGCATTGCTTGTATTGTGTACTGAAAATAAGTACTGTGCATTGTTATTACCTTAAAGAAAGACAATACATTTTATTATACTATTCATTATTCGGCATCATTTTGGCACGATATTACAATTCTTGTGGTTACCCTATTACAATCGTGAGCCCCCTTGTTGTGGCTCTTCTGAAGTTCTTAGCCATTTTGTACAGTGCAACCCTATTATCTGTGCAGAAAAGCCCTCTTGAGCAGTTCAGTTTTGCATAGTTTGCAGAAGGCCAAGACAGTGGGAGCTGCAATGCTTTGTGTGAACCTTACAGTGGTGCACCAATGAACATAAGAGAAGCCATGTTGGATCAGGCCAATGGGCCATCCAGTCCCACACTCTGTATCACACAGTGGCCAAAACCCAGGTGCCATCAGAAGGTCCACCAGCGGGGCCAGAACTCCAGAAGCCCTCCCACTGTTGTCCCCCGCCCCCCCCAAGCCCCAAGAATACAGAGTATCACTGCCCCAGACATAATGTTCCATCTATACAATGTGGCTATCAGCCACAGATGGACCTCTGCTCCATATGTTTATCCAATCCCCTCTTGAAGCTCTCTATGCTTGTAGCCACCACCACTTCCTATGGCAGTGAATTCCACGTGTTAATTACTCTTTTTATGGTGAAGTAGAATGCTGCGATGGCTCAGTGGTGAAGATGCTGAACTGCAGACTGCAAGGTCGGTAGTTCAGCAGTTCAAGACCCGAGTGCCGTGGGACGGAGTGAGCTCCCGTCTCTGGCCCCAGCTCCTGCCAACCTAGCAGTTCGAAAGCAAGAAATTGCAAGTAGATAAATAGGTACATGAACATGAAATTGAGCCAACTTCAGAGGTCTGGTTTCATGCCAGCAATGACTTAACACATTGGTGGGCTGTTGAAGAGCTCCCCCCCCCCCATTCCCCCTGCCAGCATGTTGAGAGGTAGGCTGAGGGGGCCCAGGCCAGGAGACTTCCCACTATAACAGGAGACCTGGCCTCCCCTACCCTATGTGCTGGGCAGCCCCCTGCCAAATGTCTGGGAGAAGCTGTGCATGCCCCATCCTCTCTTGAGAGAGCTACCCTTTCGCCACCACACTTAAAAACAAGTTTAAATACAATGTCTGTATCCTTGGCCTAGAAGACCAGGATCTCAACAGATAGCTGATGGGCCACCATTCCAAAGGTCCTGGCAACCCGAGCTCTCAGAGCTGTTGACTGAAATAGAAACAGGTCAAAGTTCCACAATACCTGAATGTCTGGTATTTAATTAAAGACTGCCATTGGCTATTACTGTCTATGGATACACAGTGGTATCTATCGCTATGGTGAAATTGGAAAACAGAGAGAACCAGCTCAGTAGCTGAAGTAGTTATGGGCTGAACTAGAGACGACAGAATCCACGGGCCCGAGCCACGGAGGCTGCCGCCATTTTAATGCTGTTGCTGTTAAAACACTGTGGGGCAAGGCGCATGCCTTTTCATGTGCCAAAACGGTCTCACACACAAGCACACCACAGCTACTTTGGTACTCGAAAAGGTGTGAGAAGGGGGAAACCAATGCCACATCCTGCAACACTATGGGTCCACCTTGACAGGGTTAGGCTTTAAAAAGAAGTTTGGCCCCATGGTGATTATACCTCCTTGGTGCCACTCAACCAACTCAAGAGTTCCTAGGCCCAAATTCCTGCAGCTTGGTTATCAATGGGCTCCAGGGCTATTTTTGGGCAGGAACGCACATGAACGGAGTTCCGGCTGGCTCTCGAGTTGGCCACACCCAGCAGGAACTCATTAGCATAATAGGCCACACCCAACAGCAGGAACTCATTCGGATTGGCTACATTAGGGGTGTGTGGCCTAACATGCAAAGGAGTTCCTGCTACAAAAAAAGGCCCTGGGTTTTGACAACAAACAAGGTAAACAGAATAACAAGCAAAAGGTGGGTGTGGCTGGATAACCACACTTCTGGTAACATGGGGGTGTGGCCTAATGTGCCAATGAGCTGTGCTGTCAGGGGTGTGGCCCAATATGCTAATGAGTTCCTGCTGTTGGGTGTGGCCTATAGTGCTAATAAGTTCTTGCTGGGCTTTTTCTACAAAAAGAGCCCTGATTGGGCACATTTTCTGGCTAGTGCTCTGAGGTGATCGGGAAGCTAGGCAAGTGACCTTAGGAGTGGCTGTCGGAGCTCCTGGCCATCAAAAGAAGGGGAAGCGGATGCTGTTTGCTTCCCCTGAGGTTGAGCGTCCCTGTCTCCATTCCTAGAAAACAGAGGAGGCTTTGTCTTCACTTCAATGTGAGAGGGGCTCACCCTCTTTTCTTACCAGAAACAACTCGTAGTACCCTTACAGACCCCACTGATGAATCGTTGCTCTCTCCTATGGCTGTTCGACCCCTAATTTCCTTTACATTATTTGCATTTCCCCCTCAAAATAGGCCACACAGCTATACAAACAGATCCCAAACAGCCTCCAGACTAAGATGGGTAGCAGCTGTCTGTAGAACCAGAAATGAACAAGAGTCCAGTGGCACCTTAAAAACTAGCAAAATTTGTGGCAGGGTAGGAGCTTCCACAAGTTACTGCTCACTTCCTCAGAAGAAGTGACTCACGGAAGCTCATTCTCTTCTCGTATCTGAAGAAGTGAGCAGTGTCTCACAAAAGCTCACTGAAGCCAGCTGGGGGACCCTGGGTCAGTCACAGCTCTTTCAGAGCTCTCTTAGCCCCCCAAATAAGTATAGCTAACTACTTTAGTGGTCCATAACACTAAAAAAGGAGCTGCGGTGGCCAATGTGGAGTCTTCTGAGCAAAAATTCTCCTTTGTGTGCTACTGGCATTAAAATTGTGAGCAAGTTGATTTGGCTACTGCATAAATTAGTCTGCTCTGGAGCCATCCTTCCTGAGCTAAGACAAAAATGTGTGAGCCAGAGGCTAAAAACCTGTGAGCTAGCTCACACTAACTCAGCTTAGAGGGAACACTGGTGGTGGCTCAAGTGGTTAAGACACTGAACTGTAGGCTGTGGAAGGTCAGTAGTTCAGCAGTTTGAGACCCGGGTGCCGCATGATGGAGTGAGCTCCCGTCTCTAGTTCCAGCTCCTGCCAACCTAGCAGTTTGAAAGCAAGGCATTGCAAGTAGATAAATAGGTACCACTTCGGTGGGAAGGTAACAGCGTTCCGTGCGCCTTGGTGTTTAGTCATGCCGGCCACATGACCACGGAAACGTCTTCGGACAGCGCTGGCTCTTCGGCTTTGAAACGGAGATGAGCACCGCAACCCTAGAGTCGGATTCGACTGGCTTTCGAGCAAGGGAACCTTTACCTTTACCTTTTTAACGCTAAAAAAGCTGCCAGCCAATCTTCGGATCTCTTGACTATACTACACACATTGCCATATGATGGTGATGATGATATTATTATTATTATTATTATTACCCTGCCACATTCATATCCTGCCACATATTTTGTTAGTCTTTAAGGTGCTACTGGACTCTTGCTCTTTTCTACAGCCTCAAAACTGTTTACAGAGAGCCAGTTTGGTATAGTGGTTAGAAGCGCAGACTCTAATCTGAGAGAACCAGGTTTGATTCCCCACTCCTCCACATGCAGCTGCTGGTGTGACCTTGAGCGAGTTACAAGTTATTTCAGAGCTGTTCTCTCAAGAGCAGTCCTTGAAAGAGCTCTCTCACACACACCCTACCTCATAGGGTGCCTGCTGTGCGAAGGGGAAGGGAAAGGAGATTGTAAGCCGCTCTGAGACTCCTTCGGGTAGTGAAGGGTGGGGTATAAATCCAGTCCCTTCTTCTAGATGTCCTTAAGCTCTCAGCTTCCACCCCC